TGTAGGAAATCAAAGAGAGAGTCTAGAAACGACTAAAGATGGTCCAAATTTTTACATTTCAGAAAATAGTGATCTCTCAGGGCTGGGGCTGGAGCTCAGCAGTAGCACAATTTCCTGGTATGTGTGAGGCACTGGGTTCAATTCTGAGTACTGCATATAAATAAATAAAATTAAGGTCTATCAACAACTAAAAAAATACATATTAAAAATAATGATTTCTGGAAACAATAGCCCAGTTAGTGACTTACATTTTGTGCAATATTATAAAATGAAGCCATGGTTTGGGAACACACTTGGAGAAATATGAAATAGAGAAATGGGTATGAGTTAACTAAAACAAGCCATATCAAATGAATTACATTTCCTTTATGAATATGGCTGGTAAACAGATGAAGTATATCCTCCCTCCTGATTTCAGGTTCATATTTGACAGTCTCCCATGGTAACAATGGAGATACAATGGGTGCCACTGAAGAAGTAAAATGAAATGAATTTGCAGTTGCCTGCATAGTTGATTGGATGTCTAGGAACCTAGACAAAGGTATATTAATGGGCCATACTTGGCCATATCACTTCAATATTTTTATCAACAAATTTGAGAAAGTCATATAACTTGTGTCTACACAGTTAATTTTTTAAAACAAAAATGGGAGATATAGCTAAAATGATAACAGAACCACATCAAATTTTTTTTCAGAGAATTAACTGGTATTATGATATAGCTACTATCAAAAGAAACAAGGGCTTGGGATGTGGCTCAGTGCTAGAGTGTTTGTCTTGCATTCATAAAGCCCTGGTTTTGATTTCTCACATGAAGAAGAAGAAAAAAAGGAGAAGAAGAAGAAAAAGAAGCAGGGTGCAGGGGGAGTTGTCATATTTTAAATAAGGTATCTATTATCTGCTGAAATTACATCTGGAGTATGATATTACTTAATATCTTTGAGCCCATTTTTCTATTTGTAATGCAGAGATAATTCCAATATCTAATTTACGGGGTTGCTTATGATAGGAAAATAAGATGATGTATTAAAGAGTTTAGCAAGATGTTTAAAAAGAAAGCACTCAAGTACTAGCTACAGGGCTGGGGTTGTAGCTCAGTGGTAGAGTTCTTGCCTAGCACATGTGAGGCACTGGGCTCAATCCTTAGTGCCACGTAAAAATAAATAAATAAAAATAAAGGTATCATGTTCATCTACAACTAAAATATTAAATTTAAATATTAAAATATTAAATTTAAATATTAGCTATAATAATATAATAATATAATAAATTTAAAATATTAAATTTAAATATTAGCTATAATAATATAGTGTTAGTTGATAAATTGTCATGCTCTAAAACATATTAAACAACCAGACAAGTAAGTTCTATAAATGAAGACTCCCTTTATAGAGGGCATTTTTATTGTAGAAAAGTGTATTTTAAATTTCCAAAGGTGATCTGTAGTTCTCTAGGTATTGGTTTATATTTCTCAAGATCACAAAATCTCTTACTTATGTACCCCTCAGCAGGCTTTGTCTTTCCATGCTATCGTTTTGTTTAGATGGCTCACAGATTCTACTCCACATTTTGTAAGAACATGGATAAAAGTAAAAATAAGAATCAAATTTTCCAAATGTGGGGGGTACTTTATGCCCCAGATTTACTCTGTCTATACTTTGAATAAAAATACAAATCATTAGGGACTGAGACTGTAGCTCAATGGTAAAGTGCTTGCCTCTGATGCGTGAGGCACTCAGTTTGATCCTCAACACCACATAAAAATAAATAAAGATACTGTGTGCTCATCTACAACTAAAAAATATACATAAAAATATTTTATAAAAAATAAAAATCATTAAGACATTCTTTCTTTGGGATGAAATAGACTTTTTTTTTTTTTTAGCTCCAATTCAATCATCAGTTTAACAACAAAAACAGAATTTTCCTGGGGCATATACAACTTTTTGTCATTTCTAAAAGGGAAAAATTTAATGGCAATCACTCTCCTCAAAATACTAGTCAATATATCTCTGGAAACATTTAATTGATGCCTGTAAGAAACAGACAACAGGAATATGATATGATACATGGGAAATTTCAGAGGCAAAGGTATAGTTGGTACTTTTAAAGTTCTTATAGTTTAATAGAGAAAACATATTCATCCCTCGTTGAGTACATTGGGGCGTATTTGCTATTGAAAGGGATTTAGCACAAAGGAGTTCTTTTTGGACATTATTAATTGCAATTTAGCTTCTGGGGTAAACACAAGAAATGGGAGGGCCAGAGACGATACAGCTAAGGTCACAGAGCCAATAAGTAGTAGGACTTTAACCTAAATTAATACAATTCCAAATATAAGACAGTCTCATGACACTGCCTTGAGGAAAACATCTCATTGATATTTTGTAATATCTATGACATTTATTTAATTCTCTCTCCTACCGCCCCCCCACATTCAGCCAATAAGAATGATTAAAACTCAGAAAACAGCAGCACTCTAACATTGCATTTTGTTTCACTCATTTTGGGAGGATGACAGCACCTATGACACCCCAAACTAAATGTGATTTCTCAAAGAAAATGGCATAATTATGGTTTATTGTTCTTGGATATCTGTGGTTGTAAACTTCTAATATTCTACCCCCATTTCTCTTTAAAGAATATTTATATCATTTTTTTTAATTAATGGTCTGGATGGACACTTAAGATATTCTTCTCCTCCTGCTGCCTCTCTCTGATATTTTAAATATTTATCAAGATAATACTTGTATAAACATTTTTTTTTTGCACACTGGGGAATGAACCCATGGCCTGTCATATGCTAGATAAGCACTCTACCATTGAGCTATATCCCAGCCTTATTGTAAATACTTTACAAAGTCACATGATTTTAAAAAAAAAGGAAGGAGGAAGAGGACAAAGAGAGGAAAAAAAGAAAGAGAAAGAAAAGGAAAGGAAAGGAAAGGCAAGACCCATGGCACTACCAGGTTCATAACAAAAAAATAGCAGGAGTATATTTACCATACCTATACACATATAACCTTACTCACAAAAATGCATGCACAAATTTTAAAAGGTCGGGGCAAAAGCAGTGATCTCCCCCAAACCTGAAACACCCTCCAAAACTCTTTTACTTCCTTCTTTTTAAAAAAAAAATTATTTTTTAGTTGTAGTTGTACATAATACCTTCATTGTATTAATTAATTTATTTATTTTTATGTGGTGCTGAAGATCGAACCCTGGGCCTCATAAGTGCCAGGTGAGCGGTCTACTGCTGAGCCACAACTTCAGCCCCTTACTTTCTTCTTTTAATTTTTACCAATATATACCAAATAAAACATTTGTATTGCTCTATTGATTTATAAATGTTAAATAAGATCTAATATCAAAGATTTTTTTTATTAAATCAATGTTTCCTGTTAATCTTGTGATGGTTTTACAAGTATGGTTTATTCTGAATCCATTAGTCATTATTGTGATTAAATTTCCTTTCTTATAGAATTTTTTGTTCTTGAATAATTGCCTCAGTTTTTTATTTGCCAGATTTTGTATGTCATCATCACTAATTCTTCCAGATTCTCCAATAGAAATGTAAAAATGCCTAAACTATTTTCAACACAAATATGACAGGCATTCTATCAGGTTCACTGGAACACGCCCTCCAACCCCCAGAGTACTCCATCTTCCAATTTGTCTGTCCCTTGCTAGGCTGACTGTAGAGCTGTCATGTTGGAACTTCTTTTGCTTCTTTCTGACATTGATGTGTTCCCTAAAACCTACGTCTTTTAAAACCTTATTTTAGTAGATCACATTCTTTAGTGGCTTCCTGAAATAAATTATATGTATGTAGGGAGGCAAATTTTTTATCAATGCATGCCTAAAAAGATCTTTATTCATCCCTCATATTTAATTGATAATATAGCTTAGCAGAGTTCTAGGTTGAAAATCATTTCCCCTCAATTTTGAAAGCATTGCTTCATTGTCTTCTAGCCACCAGTATTACTGGTGAGAAATATGTAACTCTTAGTAACTACTCTTTTTTCAGGTAATCTGTTTGCTTTTCCCTGCTCCTTCTTTTTCCCCAACCACCAAGTTGTTTTTATCTTCTCTTTATCTCTTGTGTTTTCACATTTTTATGATGATGTGTCATAGTGTTTGTTGTTGTCATCTTTTTTTCTTCATTATCGTGAGCACTCAGCAGGCTCTGACAGTCTGGAAACTCATGTTCTTCAGTTATCAGACATGTTCTCAGTTGTTTCTTTAATAATTTCCTTCCCTCCATTTATTCCCTAGTTCTAGAACTCTGATTAATTTCATGTTGGACCTATGAATTAACCCTCTCATTATCTTCTTTTGTTTTCTATTTCTGCTCTTTTGTTCTATTTTCTGAGAGATTTTCTCAAATTTATATATTAAGACTTAAATGAATATATTTAAAAATAAATATATTTTTGCTACTACATTTGTAATTTGCCAGAGCTATTACTTATTCTCTGTTTCTATTGGAGCATCTTGCCCTTACCTTATGGATGAATTATTTTCTACTAGCTCTCAGAGGATGCTTATTTTTTAAAAAAATATTCTTCTGCTTGTCTGTTTCCTTGGGTTTCTTTTTTCTTTGCCATTTCTATTTGATGTTATTTTTCTTGATATATATTAAGCATCTGGTAATCCTTTGCTGTCTCTTCTGTATTTAAGAGTGAGTCACCAAATAATTATTTGGAAGCTTTGTGTTAATAGAAGAATTTGTCACTTGGTGAGTTTCCATGTAGGATAATAAAGTGGGGACCCAGGTGCTTTTTAAGGGACCCTCAACTATCATTAGCTATAGAAATTATCTCTGGGGTTATTCAATTTTAAGTTCCTACTAAAATTATCTCTGATATCCTATCTGGGGAATATAATCCTTGCTATCAGCTTTCTTAGAGCAAAATGTAGCAAGAGGGTATGGGTAAGTTTCATTGTTCAATATGTAGACAATTCGTCTAATCTCTGTTTTCTGCATAGTTTCCTCCTACCTTGGCTTCATTGGCTATTATCCTCAGCATGCTGGTATCTCAGAGTCTGACGCTTCTCTAGTTGATTTTTTTTTTCCACAGAAAAATGTCCAGGGTTCTATTGGGAAATGGAAGGAAAGTAAGTAGGATAGAGGAAGAAAACTGATAGTTTAACTTCCTATTCCTATAAAGGCTTTTGGCCAATCCCCCTCTTTTCCACCTTTCATATCAACCCTGTTTCTGAAACATTTGCACCCTCCAATTCCTGACATTCTAGTATTCTACAATATGAAGCTGCTTGTCTCTTCTTAGTATGTTCTTGGTATATCCCTCTGAAAACATTTAGAACTCAGTTTTCTCAGCTCAACCACGGCTCTCTATTTTCTATGTGTTGATGTCCTCCATTGGCTCTTATCTTCTTTTTTACTCTCTTTGTCCTAATAGGCTAGTAACTTTAAAAATATTTGTTCCCCATCATTTTACTGATTTGGGGATGTGAACAGGGATAAACATATATGTTTAATCTGTTCATGCACAGCGAGAGTAAAAGATGCTCATCCTTTGCTACAAAAAAACCCCAAAAAGATCAGAATCAGAAAATGCAGAGATAAAATTTTGTTCCCATGAGGTTGATTTAGAAAAGCAAGAGTCTGAGAACTGCAGTACCTCTGTCCAAGTTCTGTTATTATTTATTAGTTGCTTGATGTTAAATTTTCTTACTACTTGTTACTTCATCTACAAAATGATAATAACCATCTCTACACAGTCACTTTTACTTGTTTGATGAAGAAAGATAATTGATACAAATGTACAAATATACATCAAATGCATATCATTTATCATAGACTATACTTTATATAAGTATAGTCAAATATATTTTGAGGAGCAGTATAACATAGTAGAAGAAGTATGGATATCAGAATCATACATATCTGAACCTGTTGACTTCACCTTTCTGAGCTTTATTTTCTCCTTTTATAAAATAGGTAAAATATTATTAACCTGACAAGTCTGCTCTGAATATCAAATGAGACAGTGCTGTGGGCCTGACACTTAATGGTACTCAACAGATATTATTCCCTTTTAGCCCCCAATTTTGGACTAGCATCCATATATTAACATGGAAATCTTGAGCTGTATTTCCTCAATTAATGCTAAACCACATGGATAATTAGCATCTTACATCATTAATAGGCCTCATAAAAGATGTTTATTTGCTGCTTTCCTGGAGCTGAATTATAAGGTGAACAACCCAAATTGAAAGGGTTCAGCGTACAAATCCTTTGAGGTGGTAACAAGCTATTGCTGAGGCATCTTCAAGAACATTTTGTTATGAAATAAGACGCGAAACTAGTAATAAATATCAAGAGACATGGGACACTGGAATACTGGGAAAAGTCCTAATCAAAACATTGTCCTAAGAATTGTTTTGTTTTTTATATGAGTCTCATACACACCCAGAGTTGGCAGGCTTTACTGTCCTGATTAAAGATAAAGGAACAGGGACATTGAGTAAAGAAGAAACTTGCTCAGGATTTACTAGTCGTCAAGGAATAATCAAGAACTCTAATCATGGCCTTTTGAAGTCCTGTTCAGTATCCTTTTAAAAAGAAAATTGTGGAAAAATACATGTACCATACCATTTTTAACCATTTTTAAGTTGTGTACAGTTAAGTACATTTACATTGTTTGCAACCAATTTCCAGAATTCTTTTAATCGTGCAAAGCTGAAATTCTGTGCTCATTAAACAACAATATCCCTTTCACTACTGCTACCAGTCCTTGGCAACCATCATTCTACTTTCTTTTTCTATAAATTTTACTATTATAGGTACCTCGTACAAGTGGGATAATATAATATTGTCATTTTATGTCTTACTTATTTCACTTAGCATAATGTCCTCAAGCTTTATCCATAGTATAGTATCTGTCATAATTTCCTTCCTTTTTAAGGCTAAATGATATTCCACTGTATGTATATACCACATTTCGCTTATACATATGGTAATGAGCACTTGGATTGTTTCTACTTCTTGGCTATTGTGAATAATGTTGCTATGAACTTGGGTGTACAAATAAATACCTCTTAAATACTCAGTTTTCAATTCTCTTGAATATATACCTAAAAGTAGAATTGTTGGATCATGTGGTTATTGTATTTAAAATTTTTTGAGTGGACTGGGGTTGTGGCTCAGCAGTTGTGCACTTGCCTGGCATGTGTGAGGCACTGGGTTCAATTCTCAGCATCACATATGAATAAATAAAATAAAGGTCTATCAACAACTAAAAAAAATTTTTTTTGAGGAACTGTCATGCTGTTTTTCACAATGGTTGTACCATTTTACATTCCCACCAACTGTGCACAAAGGTTCCAATTTCTCCACATCCTTAAAACATCTGTCATATTTTGAAGTGTGGATCTTTTGCTTTTGTTTTTACAGTAGCCATTCTAATCAGCATAATGTGGTATCTCACTGTGGTTTTGAGATGCCAAGATACTAAGTAACCCTGGGTAACTTCACCAATAATTTATAATATTAAGCTTTTACTAGGGCTGCAGTTGTGGCTCAGTGGTAGTGTGCTTGCCTAGCATGTGTGAGGCACTGGGTTCGATTCTCAGCAATGCACATACAGTAATGAATAAAATAAAGATATTGTGTCCATTTTTTTAAAAAAAGATCCTACTAGATTTTTAAAAATTTTTTTTCAGTTGTTGATAGACCTTTATTTATTTTTATGTGGTGCTGAGAATTAAACCCAGTGTCTCACACATGCCAGGCAAGTACGCTACCACTGAGCCACAACCCAGCCCCCCTACTATATTTTTTTAAAAAATATTTTTAGTTGTAGGTGGACATAATACCTTTATTTTGCTTATTTAGTTTTTTATGTGATGCTGTGTCACATGCATGCTAGGCAAGTGCTCTACTGAGCATAACCCCAGCCCAGATTCTACCAGATTTAAGACACTGTATGAGACACAATTTTAATACATGGCCTCTGTTCTCAAGAATTTTTAAACTGAGAAATTTTTAAAAATATCTTTAGTTATAGATGGACCTAACTTTATTTTATTTATTTATTTTTATGTGGTGCTGAGGATGGAACCCAGTGCTAGGCATGTGCTAGGCAAGCACTCTACCACCAAGCCACTAACCTGAGAAATTTTAAAAAACAGGAAAAGAAGAAAAAATTTTAAAAGGAATCTTAAAATCTTGCTTGGAAGAAAGGAAAATGCATTTAAAAATAAACAACAATGCAAAATAGCATAGGCTAAATGTTTATCCAATATTTATCCAATAAGTATTAAATGACAACAGAAAAGGGTAATATTATAATAGGCTAAGTTGATTATAAAAGGTTATAAAACCATAAATAAGGATAAAATTATATCTGGCTGGGACTGTAGCTCAGATATAATTTCATTAAAATAAAGGTATTCTGTCCATCTACAACTACAAAAAAAAAATTTAAAAAGAATGAAATTATATCATTTGCAAGAAAATGGATGGAATTGGAAAGCATTTTTAAGTGAAATATGCCAGATTCAGAAAGTCAAAGGTCATGTTTTCTCTCATAAAATTGAAAGCTGGAGAGAAAAAAGGGGATCTCATGAAAATAGAAAGGAGATCAGTAAGATAAAGGAAGGGAGTCAGGGAGAGAAAGGAGGGGAGGGCAAGAGAAGGTTCTGGGGAATGAAATTGATCAAATTATGTTATGTGCATATACAAATATGCCACAATGAAACTCATTATTCTGTATAATTATTACACACCAATAAAAATATTTTTTAAAGGAAAAGGCTATATGGTATGTTGGCATACACCTGTAATCCTGAGGCTAAGGCAGGAGGATTGCAAGTTCAAAGTCAGCCTCAGCAAAAGTAAGGTGCTAAGCAACTCAGTGAGACCCTGTCTCTAAATAAAATACAAAATATGGCCGGGGATGTGGCTCAGTGGTTGAGTGCCCCTGAGTTCATTACCGAGTCCCCCCTTCCCAACAAAAAGGAAAAGGCTAGAAAGAGGAACTGGAATATAAAAACATTTTAAGAGGGAAGGCTTAAATTATCTGACAGGAGACAGGGGAAAGTTTCATTTTTATTTTATTAATTCATAAGTCTTTCAACAAACATTTATTGAGCTCCTAATAAGTATTAGGCACTGTGTGGGGTGTTGATATTACAATGTCTTTCGAGAGCAAGGGGGAAAGATTAGCAATTAATAGTGAGAATCTAAAACATTTTTAAAAACAGTGACAATCCACAGTACTGAGGATGTACAAGGTACAATGAATCACTCCTTTGAGAGCCTGCTGATGTCAAGAAGAATGTTATTACCTCCTTTTATAGTGAATCATAAAGGGAATATGTAAAACACATTTCTTTCCTGACTGTGTTCACACTCTATTATTCCAAACAGAATATAGCTGGGAAATTTCCCATCCTCCCTTGGGAAGGAGGCTGTGCTCAAGAAGCTAAGTCTGTTGGTAAGTTAGTTATTAGTGCTCCTATTTCTCACCTCATATAGGTTTTGCTTTCACAAATATGTGCTAGGTGTTGGAAAAGCACAGAAAGTTGAATAAGACACAGATCCTGCCCTCCATGACCTCAAAGACAGCTACCCATGATATGATAAGGACTGTGATAGAGTAGTAGAGAGAAAACAAGAATGAAATCAAAGCCTTCTTCAAAAGTAACATCTAGCTGGATTTTAAAGGATGATAGGAGTTCATCAGATGGAAAAAGCAGGCAAAGACATTCTAGCCAGCGGAAATAGTATGGAAAAAATTAAGGAGCAGAGCATGTTCATGAAATATTAAGGGATACAGTGCAGCTAGAACTTAGCATCCATGAATGGGGAACGGTAAGAAAGATAGGTAGTAAAATTGTAAGGGGAGTTGGACATAGAGAGAGACTTGGGCTAGCTATTATTCGGAAGGTAATAGAATTAATTGATTTTTAATCAAGAGAACAACACAATTAGATTTCTTTTTATTTAAAAAACTTTATGGGCTAAATGGAGGATGAACTGGAGTTACAAGATACCAAAGGAGGAGGTCAACTGGCTAACCAAATAATCTCAAGGACCTTTAGGTGGAATACCAGAGTTCAGGATCTCATATTTGGCCTCCAAAATCAAAATCATAAATCTGATTTTCATAACACATACTTGAAGACTGACTCACAATTAAAAAAATGCATAAGAGACTGTGGTATAAAATATAATCCTAATTTACTAATACACATTCATTCATTCATTCACCAAGTACTTATAAAGAATCTACTTTGGGGGGATGTGGCCCAGTGATTAAGTGCCCTGGGTTAAAACCCTAATACCTACCAAAAAAAAAAATCTGCTTTGTGCTCAGCATAGTTCTATAAAGAACGAGAATATAACTGTAATGATTAATTTTCTGTCCTCACAGAATTATGTTCTAATGTGAAATGCATTTTTCCAGTGACTAGAATATTTATGTTTGTTGTCTAAATCATTTCTTTCCCAGTATGAAGATACCAAGGAATCTAAGTTGATAATCAAAACACTACTTGGGAATGATCAGAAAAAAGGAGGTTGATGTTATTAAGGTCTATTTAATTCAGGTCACAGGTAAAGCATAAGAAATGATCTATGCTCTAGAATAAGTGTACCTGTCTAATAACTAACTTAACAATGTTCTTTGGGTTCATAATTTCTCAATCCTGAACATGCTGGATGGAAAACATGGCCAAATCCTGAGTGTTTCCTCTCTTTCTGGATTCCAGGTGTATAGTTTTAATTTCAATACACACTTTCAAATATACTATGATACAATTGATTTTAATTATGGAAGGTAGTTTCAGTCAATTTTACCAGGTTTGATTAAATAAAGGCCTCAACTTCAACTATTTCACTATAAGAATCATGCTATAATTCTGGACTATTAAATTTTCATTGATTAATTCAACAAATATTCTAAAGTATTTATTAATTTCCTATGATGAGCTAGGTCCTCTGCTAGATGCTGGGATTATTAGAGTGAACAAGACAGACTGTGTACCTATTCTCAAAGAATTTCTATATAGTCTAGTAGTAATATAAGATTAAGAAAATCACAAGTAAATAGCAGATCAGTAAATTAAACAAACTGTGATAAGTGTTGTAAAGGGACAAAAGGAAAATATTACAGTATCCAAGAAAAATATGACAATCACTTAGATTAGGCTAGTGGTAGTGGAGACAGAGATAAGTTGTTTGAATTTCAGATTTATTAATACTCGATAATGGATTGGAGGACAACGGTAAAGGAAAGGAAAGAGGACAAAGGTAAAGGAAAGGAAAAAATTGAGGGTAACTCCTGGGTTTCTAATACAAGCCACTCAGCAGAGAACATTGCCATTAACTGATGTGAGGAAAATTTAATGTGGGAAATAATAAAATTCTTTTTAAACCTCTGTAAGACAACCAAATTCAAAGTAGGCATTATGTGAGGCCAGAACTCAGAGGAGAGGTCTGGATTGGAAATACAGATTTGGGAATTATTAACATAATGATGCTATGAAATATAGTATTTCCTGGGCAACTTTCTTAGAATTGATGATTCCTGAATCTCCTCAGTGACACATTTTTAAAGACAATTTTAGTCATTTTCACATATCACTGTATTTGATAATTAAGAATTTATTCCTATTAATCTATTTCTCAAAGGCTAACCCTATGTAAGACTTCTTTAAGGGAAGACTCACTACACCTTCTGAAGTCTACTACATCAACCCAAATATAAATTTAATTTTGTAGTTACTAGTTGCTTTTCATTAATAAATACTATGTCTTTTTTAAAAATACTTTTTAGTTGTCAACGGACCTTTATTCTATTTATTTATTTATATGTGGTTATGAGAATCGAACCCAGTGCCTCACACATGCTAGTCAAGTGCTCTACCACTGAGCCACAACCCCAACCCTACTATGACTTTCTTTTCCTCACTAAAGCTAAATTTTAAAAAAATATGTATGTTTTTTAGTTGTAGCTGGACACAATACCTTTATTTTATTTATTTAGATGTGGTGCTGAGGATCGAACCCAGGGCCTTGCACATGCTAGGCAAGTGCTCTACCGCTGAGTCCCAGACCCAGCCCTAAAGCTAACTTTTTAAGACCCCTATGTAATGAAGTACTCAAAAATGGTTGGATACGTCTGGATTACTATATGTATTAGAGTTTCTATATTAATTATTTTTTCTGTAAGCTAAGTTTTACCAAGTGAAAAGTGTACTAGACTAAGAATCATGAGATCTGGGTACTAGTTCAAGTACTGTCACTATTGTTTTAAGTCAAAGTCTCTATAGGCCTGCTATTTTATAGGTCAAATGAAGAGACTATGGAATATTTTAAAGCCAATAAAATATTTGCTTTAAACATAATTTAGCATTCAATTGAAGTATTATCATCTTTAGCTTACTATTAGGTAGTTGAAGATCTGGGGTGGTGCTAAACATAAAAAATGATCCAGAGTGAAGATCCCTGTAGGCTGTTTCCAGATTTATCACTATTTTTTGTGGACTCCATATTTTGGCTTCTGTATCTATAAAACAGGAAAATCAAAATGATTTCCTTCACAGGTATGAGATGAAAATTAATAAACATCATATGCTTTGTAAAATTCATACATGAAAGAAGTTATGAAAATAAAAGTGATTATTTGTGATAATGCTAAGTAGAATGTAGCTTTTAGAAAACCTGAAAAAAACTTAGCTATCATAGCTTTGTGACAATGGCCAGCTCACTAGGGAATCTTGGCTTTTCCTGGAACATAAACTACTACCTTGGAAGAAGTGATATCACTGAAGGAAGACTTCTTTCAAGTAGCCAGTTCAAGGAGGTTATAGCTGGTACCATGCTGTAAAGAAAAAGAAATACTTTCACAAATTGATCAAGACTCTTTGCTAAGTATACCAGCATTTTCCAAATAGGGAGTAGAAGTAAAATAAGGCCTCATTAGGACTCCTTTAGTGTGTTTTTGTTCATGTGAAATAACTTTGCTAATGTGAACTGAGTGAAGTAAGGCTACATTCCTCGAGTTTCTTTTCTCCATCTTTATCTCTTCTCTTCTCATCCCCCCCCCTCTGTCTTCATTTTCCTAGAACAGACTTTTCAAGAACTTAGTACACAGTGTCCTCGTCTCCTCTTCAAGGCCTCCCCATTCAAAGTTATTTGGGGACTGTCAGGTCTCAAATGTTTGTTCTATTTCAAAGACCCAGGAAGAGAAAAAAGGCATATGCCAGTGCTTCTCAACCAGAGATGACTTTGTCCTTTAGGGGACACTTGGCAATGTGTGGAGGTATTTTTTGGTTGTTATTAGTAGAGGGAGATCCTATTAGAATCCATGAATAGAAGCCACAGATGCAGCCAAATGTCCTACAGTGCATAGACCATGACCCCATAATACAGAATTGTTGGTCCAAAATGTCAATAGCACTGCTGTTGAGAAACTGTGATATGTAAAGATATCAGTAGCTGAAGATGACAACTGAGATTTAGTGGCAGCAATTTAGGATCCTTAGGAATTCATATTCTTAAAGTGATAAAGGGACAGTCAATAGTATCAGATTGTCTGGACTTGGATTCCCAGATATCCTGTTTTGCTGACTGTATATGACTTTAAACTAATTATTCAATGCAACAAAAGCAGTTTCCTAATCTGAAAAAAGGGTTAGTAAAATATCCATCTCACTAAATTAGTAGGTCCTTGGAGGCAAGAACCAGCTATGCTTAGATTAGAGAGAAGTATATAGTGAGGAGTGCTAAATATTTATACTAAATATTTGATTATCAAACACCAGTTGTTTTGAAACTAAAGCAGAGATCATATATTACATAATACGGAACATAATGAGGAAAAAATCAGCCCCTGATAGTGGGGTTGGGGGGTAGGCTGGCACCATCACCTAGCATATGCTGACCTGTTGAGTTAAATAATTTCACGGAACACCATCATCTGACAAGGCTACTCTATGATCACAATGAATCCAAACAAATCAAAACAAAACAAAACAAACCCACTCTGTAATCATATTTGAATACAAACAAAAAAGCCTTGTTTCAGCCACAAAAAATGAAATATTCCCTTATCATCTGTCATATGAAGGAGTATTGCTTCTTCACCAATCAGAGCTTTAGTCTCACCCGGATCTTCTCCTTTTATGGAAGAATTATTAAAATACCCAGTCACAGAATTACACCTACCTTCTGATAAACATCTGATTCGGAGAGAAGCCTAGCCTCCTGAACTCTCCCACAAATTACCTGAGAAGCCCAAACTGTAAATCCTTTCTAACACTGTCCCTGAGATGTCCTGCTGTTTCCTACAGGTGCCTCCCTCCTTGCAAGGAGTCAATAAACCCAATTTGTCCAGCCCCAGAGGAGTTCTGGGTGATCTGGAGAGCACCGACAGTAGTGAGATCGCCCTAAATGTTAGTTAACTATTACGCCCCAAAGGGAACTGCAGGTGCACCCTGTGCAGTCAAGCGGCGACTTCATATACAAGTACAGTTCTGCGCCACCTAACGAAGTTTCTGTCCAGGACCGACAAGACACACGGTGGTGGTCCCACAGGGACATTGTAGCCCATTTCGTTGTGTGACGAGGAAATTGCCGAATCACACACTTCTCCCCATGTATCTGCCATTAAGCGAGGCGTGGCTGTTTTGAGGCTTGCGGAGCCTCTCTCGCCCGTCCGTTTCTCCTCAGGGAACGCCTTCTTTCCTCAGTCCACCTCTGGAGAGGCAGGGGGAGAAGGCTTTCGGTTTCCTGTCTTCCAAGTAAAAAGTTAACACGTTAAATGTCTCACGAAGTAAAACCTTCTAGTGAGGCGCGTGTCTCCAGTTCCGACTTAGAATTCCTCAAATACTAGAATACCTCAGGGACAGGGGGAAACAGCACGACGGGTTCATATTACTGTCTCACCTACCTGCCTATCTCAGGAGAAATGGCCCCCAATTCACTCTACAAGCAGACTAGCATAGCTCTACGAGCAATACCGAACTCTCCGAAAGGCTCAGGCAATAGTCACAACAAGAAACCGAATCTCTAGGCTGGGATCGCTCAGACTCCGCGCACCGATTGCAGGGCGGCTGCCTCTTCCAGGAGAACTACAAGTCCCGGCATGCCCGCGCCGCAGCGTCCCCTGGTTACTCGCGCCACATGAAGCGCTCTGGGTGGGCTCTTCCGCGCGCCTGCGCCTCAGCAAGCTCTGCGCAGGCGCACTTCCAACGTTTGGGAGGAGGGCGGGGTGTCGTTCCCTTTCGCTGATGCAAGAGCCTAGTGCGGTGCTGGGAGAGGTGTCGGTAGGAGCAGCGCTGCCGGCGAGGCCAGGGGCTGACCCGTCTGACTTCTCGTTCGTGCCGAGCCCACTCGAACCGCAGCCATGTCCGGGGACGAGGTGAGGGCCTGAGCCCGGTGCTAGGGCTAAGGACTAAGGCAGGAAGCCTTACCCACCCAGTGGGGGAAACCGGGCCTGCGGCCTAGCGGCCGGCCGCCGCCATGTGGGGCACCCGGGCCTAGGCAGCCCGGAGCGGTGGGGCCGGCGAGAAATTCTGGATCCGCATGCTTGGCCGCTCCCGGCTCTCCTCAGAGCTACAGCGCCGGGGCCGGCTTCTTCCTGGGGTCGGCGTTCCAGGAGTGGAGAGCACGCGTTGGGGCGCCGGTCCTGAAGGGACTGATGCCCCGACTGAACGAGATTGGGGCTGGCGACTCCTGCATTCGTTTCCGCTGGACACTGATCAGCTCGCCTCTCTGGGCGCCCCGAGGAGCCTCCCTCGGTTCCGGTGGAACACTCTAGTTAAAAAGTTTGTAGTCTAGTTTTTCCAGGCAGGTATCCTGCCCTTGTTTTCCTCTCGAGCATTATTCTTAAAAAGACGAGGGGGTAAGGAAGTTAGGACTCGAGGGAAAGACCCTTCGGCTTCAAAAAGTGAGCAGCCTTCTCGGAAAGTTTCCGGGCGGGTGTCCCCGAGCTTCCTTTTACAGGGCTCACAGCGACCTGAGCGAGAAGTCCAGGCTGCGAAGCTGACTGAGCCCCGTTCTCCAGTCGTGCTTGGATCCCAAATCCCCACCCCACCCCCGCTATTTATGCTAGTTCATGTAAAATCAAATGACTTAAAATGTAATTGGTGTTAAAAGAGCTCTCACTCGGTATTGCTGAACACAGGAGGTAGAGTGCCCCCACCAAAACTACACCCCAAGTCCAAAAAAAAAAAAAAAAGTATGAAGAATTTGTAGTTTTTTCGGTCTAGAGGGCCTTGGAAGGGATGATGAGGAAGAATTCGAGGTTCTCTAAACTAGTGTTGGCTTTTGAGTAGACCCTGAACGATGCTTAGAATTTTCTCCAGCAGTGGGAAGACTTGATTTATTATAGGATAAGACAAATAGCAAGTAAGAGTGCTTACAGAGTGGAGTGTTCTCCAGTTTGGTTAGAGTTAAGCAATGAAGACTTGAAAAATAGGTAGTGGCTAGTTCATTGAGTACTTTCAAGTTAAGAAATTTGTAATTCTAGAGGGGACTTCGTTCTCATTTGGGTCTCAGGGTAACCCTGTAAAATTGGTCCTATTCTGCCCATTTTACAGATGAAAAACCGAGGTTCACAGTTGTATAATGTCTACTGATCAGATTCTCAGCGCCCGAGCCAGGAGTAGAATTCCAAAATGCTGCTTTCATCTAGATGATAGGAATCAGGCTTAGAGAAACAGTCTGAAGGATTCAAGTAGATGGTTCTGGCTTGGAGGTCATGGTAAACATGGCTCTCATTTACTGTATTCCTGAGAGGTAGTGTTTCACACTTATTTTATTTCTTCTGCTTTTTCAGATTTTCATAATGTTTAGCAACTGTAGTACTTATGTAGAGCAATGTGCTGTGGGGAATTCTGGGTATGGTTTCAGTGATAAAGTACTCATACTGTCATAAGGGATATAGCTGTAATGCAAAGTAGAAGAGATATAATAGTTATAATAGTAAGACAGCTGTAATAAAAGGTAGAAATTGTCATAAGAAGATATAGGGCCATCAACATAATTTGGGAGTGCTGGTAGGATCATTTTTGTAATAGAATCAGGGTTTTTTTTAATATTTAATTTTTAGTTTTAGGTGGACACAACATTTTTATTTTTATTTTATGTGGTGCTGAGAATCAAACCCAGTGCCTCACGCATACTAGGCAAGCGCGCTACCACTTGAGGCACATCCCCAGCCCAAGATCAGGTTTTTTGAAAGAAGGGGAATTTGAATACATAACTGAAGGATGAACGAGATTTTGTTCAGCATAGGTAGCAGAATCGGTATTCCAGCAGTGGACTTTGGAAGCTAATAGAGTATATGCAGCTTGGCCCTTCCTAGACTTACCAGTACTACTTCATTTTATAGATAGGAGAGTAGGCCCAAGGAGGTTAACTTGCCTTAGGTCATGCACCAAGTTAGTGGGACTAGAACCTAGAACCTTTGTCAGGTGGAAGTTAACTGGTAAAGAGGGGTCTGAAGAATGGGGAGTAGGTTCTGGTTCATGTAGTGTTATTGACAAGATAATTATTAGAAAAGTCCTTTCTGACTGCTTTACAGACTTGTGAGGACCAAATGAAAACGTGCACTTGGAAATGACTTATAAACTATCAGTAACTTTCTATAGTTTCTTTTTACTTTAAATGGCTCATTGAAATATAATTGCCATAAACGGCACATGTTACTTTTTAAACCTTGTAATTAAGCCAAAAAGATCACCAAAACATGATCCTTTTTAACCTAGTGGAACTATGAAAAAGCAATAACCTAGAAATGTGTTACTTGATAAGGAAAAAAAAATCCCCTAATTTGCAGGCACTCAGAATTTTTTACATCTTTTTTTTGGTACCAGGGATTGGACCCAGGGGTACTTAACCAGTGAACCACATCCCCAGCCCTTTTTATTTTGAGACAGGAACTTGCTGAGTTGCTTAGAACCTCACTAAATTGCTGAGGCTGGCTTTCAACTTGGAATCCTCCTGCCTCAGCCTCCCAGATTGCTGGGATTACAGGGGTGCACTGCCACGCCCAGCATAGAGTTTTTTGTTTTTAAGCACTGTTAATGTCTTCTTAGACTTGCTTAATACTAGACACTAGTCACAAGGTGTCAGAACATTGAGTTTTCACAATATGGTAAGGTGTTTTTCCAAAAGAAGTTTTAAATTAAAAGAAAAAAAGTTTCTGATTAAAAATAGAATGTGTGTTATGTAAATGAAGTTTATAAAACAGAAGAATACAAGAAATAAAAATTTCCCAGAATCCTGTCACCTGGTGATGAAAAGGAATTTCAGATAACACCTTTCTTTGCAAGTTCTTTTGAGAATATACATGCCTTCTGGGTGTAGTATGGACAAAAAAAGTTGATTTCTTTTTAAGTTATGCTGGAGACAATTTGATGAAGCACTACAGGCTGTAATCAGGGTAATTTTAGCTGGTATTCTCTTTTCTTGCCTTCTCCAACCCAACAAAGACAAGTTGAAAATGGAAGTTTTATGCTTTTGAAGGCTTCATTGTAGTAACTATTTGCTTCTCAAACCCAAACTAGCCTCATAAACAAAATCTCTGGAATGTAATCAATAATTTGAAAGTCAGATATAAAAGTCTTAAACCATGATCTTAGTCAAAACTGACATGGCCTTATGTTTTGGTGAGTCCCGCTTTGGTTGCTACTTCAGAATCCCTGGTTTCCTTATTTGTAAGCTACTTGCAGGGTTGTGTGAATGAAATGAGGCATTGAGTGTTTTAAGTACGTAAGTATTAAGTATCCAGAGGTAGTAATTGAGATGTTAATTATTTCAGCATATGATTCCCAAATGTTTATTACCTTTGATAGGGCCATAGTCTGTTTACCTGTAGACCTAAATAAGAATTTTTTCCTGGGCTAAGAAGGCTGCTGGGAGGTTTCAGGATCCCTTGTATCTTTTGTCTGGCTTGCTGAATAATAATAATTAAAAGCAGTTAATATTCCAGGGAACCTGAAGCATGAAAAAAAATTGCAATGAATGGATTATAAACTTTGCCAAAACCAGATTTATAGTGCCTGGAGTGCTGTCTGTCCTTTTGCCAAGTCTCCCTATTTCAAGAATGATGATGAACTGTACCTACCCCTGTACAGATTGCAGTATTCCATGTAGGATGACCCAAGGCCCACTATAGGTCAATAGTAGGGGATTCCTTTTCCTGACTCATCTATCCTGGAAAGAATGCTTCTTTAAGTTTCTCAGTTAATGTTCTTCCAACTGACTGCATTTCAGAATTACTCATTTATACAGTTGGATTCAAGAGAATAATTTTGAAATGTTACTATAAAAATTTCCATAATGCCTTGAATATATTTCTCTACTAGATGAGGACAATAGCTACCCTACCTTATTATAGACTATAGCTTAGTTTCCTTAATGTGCTTGGGACATAAAAAGAAAATTAAATTAATTATAATCAGTTTGGGGAAGTTTTGAGAGCTTCATGATACATCTGGCAAATTAGATCACCTAAGTTGAGGGTGTTTCAGTGATAGGAATCATATACCATGTTTTGTGAACTGTAAAGCATTATATAAATTATAATGTAAGGGCTTTATGTTTGCTTATTTGATGCTTGCAGTAACCTTGTCAGGTTTGGTTTTAGTTCAGCTTATCTCCATTTTACACATGAGGCATGAGGTGACACAGGTGTGAGCCAGAGTCTGGATTTAAATCCAGGCAGTTGTGCTCCAGATCTGTGTTTCTGATCACTATACAGTCTACAACACAGCAGATCAGTGGGCAAAGATTGGTAAGGAGCTCAGGGGAAAAAATACTTGGATTTGAATCTAATTCTGTTTGACTTAAAGACTTTGCTCTTTCTGCTCTGTCAGGTGCCTACCCTGTATGTGTAAACTATTACCATCTAAAATAACTTTTCAGGTAATCAGTGCAGTCTACAAGTTAGAAATTACTTTTCTACTTACTGTATAGTGAACATTTAGATAAAAATAATATAAGCAAATTTTTCGTATTCCACAAACAAAAAGCAGTGTAAAAACTTCTAAGGAAATTTCTCAGATTTACTGATTTGCTGATGGATTTTCTTAAAATTTAAGGTTTGTCTGGACTTCAGAATAAATTTTTTAAAAAATCAAGATCTAGTCTCCACATATAGCCACTCCAGGTTATCAACCTTAAATAAGATGTTCTAAACTTTCCAAGGTTTTCTCATTTATGAATGAGGGACATCTAACCA